TCAAACTTCTGATTTTGTTTTTGTTTTTTTCTTTATGGCTTTTAGTTGAATATTTTCAATGGGGGATTTTTTTCCCTCTGAAGTAGTTTGTGATAAAAGTAGGGTTTGTTTGTTTTGTTTTGTCTTTTGGCCAGTCCTGGGGGCTTGAACTCAGGGCCTGCTGCTGTCCCTAAGCTTTTGTGCTGAAGGCTAGCACTCTACCACTTCAGCCATAGTTCTACTTCCAGCCTTTTTGGTGGTAAACTGGAGGTAAGAGTCTCACAGACTTTCCTGACCAGGTTGGCTTTGAATTGCAATCCTCAGATCTCAGCCTCCTAAAGTAGCTAGGATTACAGGCATGAGTCACTAACACCCTGCTAAAACTAGTTTTATAAATCAAAAATTTTAAACAAAACCAACCAAGTGCTATTCCAAATAGCTGTGCATGGATGGTTTTCAGCCTACCCTTGAGGCGAACAATGCAGGAAAAGGCAACCAGGTAGAAGAGGCAAAAGGTAACAGCTAGGCAACCTTGTGCACCTAGTCCTGGGACCATGGAGGTCAACAAAAGCAAGAAGGGGCCATGTCCACAGCCTCTAAGACGACTGAACAAGCAGAAGATGGAAGCTATGCCTGTGGATAGCTGGAGTTTCAGGTAGCCACTTCTTTCTATGAGTATCAAATATCACTACTTAAAGGGATTACTGGTTGTTAATAGCTCCCCAGCTTTTTGGGGGTTAGGGTTTTAGAATGAGCTTCCTTTAAAATGAGTTCATTATTTTTAATGCTTTTTTTTTTTTTAAAAAAAAAAAGACTAATCACTGACAATGAGAAGAGTTTAAAATAGAATTTTAGGCTCCTCGATTTTAATAGCCCTAGAAAAACTCCATTGTTAACTCACAAGCAGCTGCATACGTCTAAAAAATCACTGTGAGACTTGGCAGAGTTCCTTAAAAAAAACTTGAAGCTCAGCAAAAAGTTAAATAAATTATCCTTGAAAAAAATTCCCCAAATGCTTAGGAGCTAACTTCCAAGGGAATTTTGGCCATCCAAATGATTGTGCAGCACTAGCTTTCTAACAGTAAATTTACAGAACTGATATTTGAAATAGTCCAAGAATGCACAAAGTAGTGCTCCAAACACCAGACAGCTCAGCTAGAGACTTGACTGACTTTCCCTCCCCTCCCCCTTCCTCTCAAGTGAATGCTTGGGCCAGTGGGATATTCAGTCACTGATAACATTCAAAACTCAGGAGTCCCCATGAGCTACATATGAGACCCTCCAGGGAGCTTAAAAAAAAAGTCATCCTTGGCTTTCATCCCAGAATGGCCCAGAGTCTCAGAGGGTGAAGGGTGGCATCAACAAAGGCATCGGCTCCCGAGGTGACTGTAATGTACAGTCAGAATTGGGCACCACAGATACAGCAAGTGACATTTAGCAGATCAGAGGGAAAAGATAATGTGAGTGCATCTTCAAGTACTTGATTTGACATCTGCTCCCTGACAGCACGCACTAAAAACTAGAAATGGACTTTAAGAGCCAGAAAGCTATGCTACTGGATCTCAGGAATGATTGGGTTGAAAGGTTTTCCATTGATACTTAACAACTTCACTGTTTCTGAAGAAAAGCACACAGCAAAGATTCTCAGCCAGAGATTGATCAGCGGTCTAGACAAATTCTCAAATATACTCCACTTAGGCCAAGTTTTCTTGGAGTCTGAAGAAACAGCAACAGTTAGGACTACTGCAAACTATGGCTATAAGAAGACACAGCCCCACCTGCATTAAGAAGCTTCAGGAGCTTTAAAAAAAAAAAGGGGCCACTCTTGGTTCATGCTCCAGGACAAATCAGAGGCTACTACCCTTGCCCCCTTTGCTCATCTAGACTGGGGACAGCCACCAGGAACCACTTCTGATGCTTGAAGAAACGCCAACTCATAGCTAGATGAAAGGACAATTAGTGGAATCCTCATCCTAAACCAGTATGGATCGATTTAGGAGTCCCAGTCATTACTGCATCATTACTGGTCCAACAGCAGGGCCGGAGAGTGAGCTAAGATATGTGGGGTGGATCTCACACAGAACCCTTGTGTCACAACAAGAACATGATAACACCTTCACTTTAGCTGCCTGCTAATTGGAGATGGTTCCGGGCCTGGCATGTGCAGATGGCAGGGCCACAAATATCTGGCAAGCAGGGCCATGTGGGCCTGGTTCAAGCCCTCTCCTGTGGTTTTCTGGCTGTAACAAGAAGAAAATGGCTGGCAGTCATGGGAGGCCCTAGAGAAACCCCACCAGGCAGCTTCTCTAGAAAGTCTGGTAAGTCTATATTCAAGGAGGCTCCCCTCCTCGTCAGGGGGAGATTTGGGACTCTTCTATATCAGTTAAACCTCAATGTGGTTCCCATAGCCTAGGAGCTATACCTTTCTTTAAACCCCTCATCATCCAGGCTCTAGCATCCTTTAAACTTGGGAAGCCTGGTGAGCCTCACTCCACAGGAAATCCCAACACCTGGCACAAACGGCTCGCTCAAGAACAAGGGTGCACCACAGAAATGTTTGCTATTTTGAATCAAACATTGAGCTATTTAATCATTTTGGGTCACACATCACTGTGCATAGCAGAAGCCATAAATGCTGATGTTCCAAAGATACAGTGCAGCTCTGTAGACACAGGAGCCCTGGTTACAGAGCTAATTCTGAAGATCTATGACTTTTAGAGAGGCTTTGTTTCTTTGCTTGATGATATTACTATGCATTTAAGGGCTATGAACATTTGTCATTTTCTGCACCTTCTATGTGCTATTTCCTCAGCTTGAACCCCATCCACCTTACCATCTACAGCTAAAGCACACTCATCCCTCAGAGCCCAGTAAGAATGCTACCTCACACCCCTCCCCCATACACACACAAGCCAGAGTTCTTTGCCCTTCTGGGTTCAGAAGCAGTCTGCTGGTCCTTGATTATGACACCAGCTTCTATGTTCTGTGTTACACTAAGCAACTGCTTTCTGTCTTCTCTCCATGGCAACTTCTCTGAAGGACAGAAATATTGATTTGGTCACCCTATGGCTAGATTATCAACAGTGGCTGGATATAGGAGAGAGTGAGTGTAGATAAAATAATGAACTCAGGGCCACACAGAAGCTATCACCTCAAGTGCAATGGACCCTGAAAACACTCTACCACAATTGACACTAGTAACAGAAAATAATTTGTGCCTTTGCCTATTTCTGCAGGTGGAGCCGATAGGCCATTGGCCTGCAGGAGAGCCATGCTCAGTTCCCCATGGGACACATCTAAAACAGCAAAGAAAGGCACTCTGCCCTCCTTCCAAGGATAAAACTTGAATTTACATGTAACATGTTATACGCCAGGCATGGGTGGGGTGAAGCAGATTGCTTGTGGGCCTCCAAGCTGCAGTCTGCAAATGAAGAGAAGCCTGGGAGACATCCCCAAGCCTCACCTAAGGGGCTTGCTGTTGGTAATACTGCAGGTGCACAAGCCCTGCGAAGGTCTTGAGGTTGCAGTCGGCTTGGTAGCCTAAGGAGAGCAGTACTGGGGAGGAGTCCATGCTCTCCTTATATCTAATCATTTATCAGGCACGCCACCAAATCTGCAGCTAAGAGAGATGTCCATTTTACCAACTGTGAGCTTGTAGGCAAGAAATGCAAGTGGCTCTACAAAGTCTCCCAGTGCTCATTCCCAACCCCCCACCTCCCACCATCCTCAGGTGCTCTTCACAACCCTGGGAAGATTCAGGAAGTAAGGAGTAGGGAAAAGACAGAGGCATACACTTTGCCAACCCTCACCCCAGACTCAGTCACAGGAAGCCAGGATAACATGACAGCACAGACTCACAGAGTCCCCAGCTAGGGGGGTTATCTTAGTTAAGATGGGTCCCTTCAGCCTGAGCTTTCATACAACACTGCCTAGAGTAGAGATACAAATCTGCCTCTCCTACTCACTTCAGCTCACCTGATGTTCACACCCTCTGTGCTCCAGCCCAACAAAGGGTCTATTCCATCCTCTCTCAGCTTGGCTTCTGCTCACCTTGTACTGTTATTCCCTTGGGTTAGAGGTTCTGCCTGACAGTGAACTGCCATACCTCAGATCTATTCCACCCTTCAAGAGCCAGGTCAAGTATCCATAGATGGTCCTAGATGCCCCTCCCAGCTCCTGCACACTATCTCTTCATGTGCCCTGGGGCTCTGGCTCCTTGTGAGAAGACCATAACACCTAAGCCATTCTTCTTGGCAGGGACTTTACAAGACAGGGCCAAACTCAGCTTCCCAGGCCTTTCAGTGGATATATTCTAGATTAGAAACAAACTACAAGAATGGTAGTCATATGCACTGCTGGATTTCAGCTTCTGCTATTACCAGAGGTACAAATGGGCTAAGGAAGACTAAGAACATGTTTGTGGGGAAATATTCTATGGTAAGAGAGACACTGTGATCAACAATGACAATGACTGATTATCAGGCCTAGTATCCTGCAGAAAGCATGTTTGAGGCCATGGGGACCAGGCAGATGGGCTACAAAGCAACCAGAACTGACTCTTAGGCCTCTTAACAACTGCCTAGCACAAGGAACTGGTAGTCTACTGCCCTGAATGGGCTCAGCATTTGGCTGTGTATGGAAGGCACAGGTGGGAGCCACCTCAGGTAGAACAAAGTGAAAGAGGACCATGTTCTTTCAATTCTGGTCAGGTAGTGCTGTCTACTCTGAAGGACAGGAAACTACAATGTCCTCTCCTGGAGTGTCCCCTGTACCAACACAGAAACAGGCATACCCAATTCCCAACACTCATAGTGTGGCTTTTAAGCTACAAAGTCACCTTACTACATGTAAACTGGGACCCTAAACTCTGGGTAAAATCTGGAAGTGGTACAAATACATTTGTTCTGTCTGTGATGTCACAGGGGCAGGTTGGCTGGTCAGGGAGAGGACACCAGCCATGGTGGTGTCAAATGCAGGCCACGTCTCTTTGATCAGGAGCAGGAAGAGAGAACAACACCTACTATTTCTTTTTCCTTCCTCTCCTCCCTCCTCCTCATTCTCCGGATCGATGTCCTCTGCCTGGGTGATCCAGTCCAAGTAGCCCTTAAGATCCTCTTCCAGTTGCTGCTTCTCTCGAAGCTTCTGGAAATCTCCCCGGGCTTTTGCTTTCTCTCTTTCCTTGGAGAATTCTCTGAAGGAGGCAAAGAGAACAAACACCTTTCAGGACATCCTTGGAGACCTGCACGGTGAGCCATCTGCCCTGCTGCACAATGGTCTCAGTGGCAGGACACACAGCACTCAGTAGAGCCACATGAGCACAGCAATGGAGACACATACGTGTACAGGACAGAAGACAGTGTCTTCCTAAGCAAGACTGTGGGTGTCAGAGTTGCAGAGACCACACTAACACGCATGCATCATTGGTTAGGAAGTGAGCTCCCTTCAGGATGGCAATGATCCCAGGCTAACAGCACCAAGTACTGTCACAGTAGGCCTCTGACATTCCCCACTAGGCCCACAACTCAGAGATGGCCCTCATTCTTCAGAGCCTCCTATGATATCCAGCACTGCACTTCCAAGAGAAGGGACCCAAGTAGATTAAGTACAAGTCACCCACCCAGTTTAAGGCTTCTTCAGTAAATTCGGATAAAACTTTGTATTATGTACTGACCTCTTTGTCAACCCAAGATCTTTTTTTTTTTTTTTTTTTTTTTGTCGGTCGTGGGGCTTGAACTCTGGGCCTGGGCGCTGTCCCTCAGCTCTTCAGCTCAAGGCGAGTGCTCTACCACTTGAGCTACAGCGCCACTTCCGGTTTTCTGGTGGTTTATTGGAGATAGGAGTCTCACGGTCTTTCCTGCCTGGGCTGGCTTTGAACCGCCATCCTCAGATCTCAGCCTCCTGAGTAGCTAGGACTACAGGCGTGAGCCACCAGCGCCCGGCTAACCCAAGATCTTTGTCAGGGGAGTAGTCATTCCCAATTTCCACATGAGGATCCCCTCCCCAGCACCTGTAGCTTCAGAGCAATGAAAAGGGTCTAGATGGTTGCTAGTGCCCAGGTCTCCCTTTCCAGGCAAGAACTAGAGAGCAGATGAAACGCTGCTGTTTTTCTTAACCCTTGGTTCTGGCCATGATGCCTCCCAGAAGGTCTTCCCTCTAGGAGGCAAAGAGGCAGTGCCATCTGTTGCCCACTTACGGGAACACCTGCCCTGGAAAGGCTTTGGCAGAAACACAAATGTTCCCCGTTGCTTGCTGTTTACTCTCCCTTCCATATCTACAATCCTAAATCTACGCACAGACACAAACCCCTATACTTGTCCAGGCAAGTTTGGGTCTGGTAGACAATTACAAGGAACTATATGCATTTTCAACTGTGAATTGCTATAGGAGCCAAAATATTTGGATTATGGATTTTGGAAGTCAATTCAAAGCTGTTAGGAAGCAAGTGAGATAACAGGCTAGCAGGCTTCTTCACATACACCCAAAACTCTGATGCAGCTACCACTGTCTCCTATTGCGTGCCTTCCAAGCCAAAGTGAGCATACCTCCAAGGACCTCTAACTTAAACTGATGATAGGGGAAATGGCCTGCTTTCATCAAGCCATCCCCTCCGCCCATCTCCTCTCTTAACTACAGGCCTTCAAGGGACTGAATAGATACTTGAACAGCCAGAGAACCCAGTGTTTCAGGTAATAAAATGGAATCCTTGCCAGGGACCACAACAAGAAAGGACTACATTGACAGTTCTATGCCAGCCTACTTTTGCATCCCAAGAACCATCCTTGGCCTCAGTAGGGCTGCTGTCTCCACCCTGTCTTCCGGAAGGGCAGGAAGAGGCAAGGCTGTGGATGCAACTCACTGGCAGCCTTGGGGGTTTAGAGGGTGTTCAGGACCCAGACATTGGCTCAGACCTTCTAGCCCAAATGCATTTCTTTCTCCAGAGAACATCTTCTTCTCAAGAAAGAAGGGACTTGGAGGGCAGTGTCTCGCTGCTCTCATAATCCATGCCTTGAGAATGGTCTGGGCTTCTAAAGATAAGAGAAATTCATACCTCAGCCCTGAGTAAATTCACCAAATTACTTTAACTCTGAAAAAGTCACATTCAATCCAAATCACCTCCCTGAACAGCGACAGGAGAAATTGGCATTCCGAGTGCCTACAAGAAATTGCATTATATAATCTGTTTTCTTACATGCATTGTAAGGAACAAGTGGATCTCCAATTATATTATTTATCAAGAAGTATCCCCATACAAATCTTTTTCTAGAGCTCTGTTTTTGCTACAGACACTCTGACCTGATTTCAGACCATTTTAAAGGGTTTAATACCTACCAGGCAGGTAACATGACTGAGATTTACATGGAATAAATTGCCTGCTGACCACAGGATAGGATAGAGGAAGAGGCAAGGAGGCAGAGTCTCTGAAAAACCAGGTGTCCTCCATAGTCTCCTAGACTGCTTAGGACTCTGAGTCTGAAGACCTGGATTCTAGTCTAAACTCCAAGCTCTGTTTTCTGAGCTTCTGTGTTGTTGTTGTTATTGTTCATTTTCTCAACTTGCAAAATAGATACAATGACATCTGTTCAATTGCTTGGACAGATTAAGATATTTGGGGAGAGGATACTTCAGAAAACAGAAAGCACTGTATCAATGGGAACTTCAAGTCTTGAGTATTTTTTTGTTGTTGTTGACTCTTTGCATAGGAGAGAGAAATTTTAAAGGTCATTGGAGAGCTTTCTCAAACAAAAAAAGGTAACCTTTGGGAACAGTTTGGAATAGGTTCTACAATGCCATGATCCCACCAGGATTGGGAGGCATACAGAAAGGATGCCTGGGAGCAGAGGGCAGAGTGACTATGAAGATGTAGCACCCCGTCTCAGTCCTGTATCACTGCTTATTCTCACAACAAACCTGTTCTGTGGGAACTCCCACCTCATGTTCATTGTTTCTGCTAATGACCTCAATGGATGATGATTTAAAAAAAAAAAAAGACTCCATTTTGCATAGGATGTTGCCGTCTCCTAGGAGGCTCATTACCAAGGGATTAAATAATGGTTATTATTGCAAAAGTTTAATAGATAGAAGTTTATTGATAGAAATGATCAGACTTTCGCAAGTAGATAACAAAAATTCAAAAAATATTTCTTACATGCTAGGAAACTACTTGCTGTGGTCCACAGTTTTGTGGTATGTGACTGAAAGAAAACATAAAGGTACCTGGAAGAAAGTGCATGTGGAAGGCTTCCCTTTGCATATGAAAGATGAAAAAATAATAAAACACATTTCTGTAGGATATATATGAAAAATAAAGCAGAAAACAAGCATGTGGACAAATGGAATAGAAAAAAAATAAAGGATAGAACGTTACCCCTAAGTATATCTTTTTGTAAAGTTATGACTTTTGGAACTAAATGTTCTTCATATTAAAGATTTAAAAAATTTACCTCAAGGATGACATAGAGTGAAAATCCCTCTAAACTGAAAGTGAACTGAAATCAATGCAGCTGATTATATTGTTTGTATGTCTGTGTGTGTCTGTGTATGTGTCTGTGTCTGTGTGTCTGTGTGTGTTTTACGCTGGAGCTTCTTAGCTTTTTTTCTAATGCTAGCACTCTATATTTGGGCCACAGCTTTATTGATGGGTAACTGGAGATTAAAGTTGCATGGGCTTTACTGCCAGGATTGGGTTTGAACTGTGATCCTTAGCTCTCAGCTTCCTGAATAGCTAAGATTACAGGCATGAGTCCCAAGTGCCCAGCTTCTGATTGTATTTTTATGAATATCACATGCATACCGAAGAAGAAAGACAAAGTAATTGAAGAGATTGTGACCATTCTGTGTCCTGTCAGTCTTAAGCAGAGATATGGATGAGACAACTCAGAAATCAATTTTAGCTGCATTAGAGGACTTAACAAATGAATAAATGTGTTGATGTTATCACTGTGGAAAACTGGAGAAACATGGAATGAAGAAAGACTAGATAGAACCTTTTGGAGGGTAGACTGGAATTAATAGACATAGCTGAGCACCCAGGATTTCTAAAAGGTTTGCTCTAAGCCTAATGTCTGATTTTTAAAAAGATGCTATTATGAGTATATGTATTAATGTAAGTATATAACTAGGTATGTAGAAATGTGTGTGTCCTACTTCTGTCTGTCAAAAGGATGCAGAACACATCTGATGTCCATATCTTGGTCTTTTATAATGTTCTTCATAATCTCAGCACTTGGGAGCTAAGGCCGGAGAAGTGTGAGTTCAGGGAAAGCATGTGCTATGTAGTGAGACTATGGTTTGTTGGTTTTTCTTTTTTTAACAAAAACTGTTTTTAAAAAAGAGCAGAAAGGCATAATGCCTATGTGCATCTGATCAAACAAAATAATATCCATCAAAATAAACTCCAGGAAATGTAAACAAGAAGTTTTTCTCTTTTTTTGCTGTTTTTCTTTTCTTTTTGTTCTGTTTGTTCATTTATATTTGGAAGTGTACGGGGAGGCACAGAAATGCAGGAACAAAGGGTAAACAAACGCAGCAATGGTACTCACTGTAAACCATATTGAAAATGAACTATACAACGTGTGGGCAGGGATGAGAGGGAAAAACTGGGAGAGAATGAGGGAAGGGGTGACACTGTCCAAAAAGAAATGTTCTCTTTACCTGGCTTATGTAACCATAACCCCTCTGTTTGTCACCTTTAAAATAACAATTTAAAAAAATTAAAAAAGAACCCAAGCTGTAAGGAAAGATCAAAAGCCAACCTGGGCAGAAAAGTCTATGAGATCCCACCTCCAATTAACCAGCAAAATTCCAGACTGGAGGCAAAACTCAAGTGGTAGAGTGTCAGACAAATGAGCAAATCAAGTAAGTATAAAAGCCTGGATCCAAATCCTATGCTGGTATGAAAACAAATTACCTCAGAAACAAGAAATGACTTCTTTTTAAAGACAAATATCTTCCGAGAAACAGCTGATTCCAAGACTGGGCCAAATTAGGTACCAGATGGAGAAAATAAGGAAATATTCAAAGGCAAAAACATTCAGAAAGACATTCCATAAAGACACAGGACCTAATGGATACTGGTGGCTCATACCTATAATCCTTGCTACTCAGGAGGCTGAGATCTGAGGATCTTCATTCAAAAACAGCCTGGCTAGGAAAGTTCATGAGACTCTTATCTTCAATCAATCAGAAAAAAAA